TCTTTTCACCCTTTCCTTTTCAATTCTGATGACGGATTTGCCCATAATTATCTTATAGTGGCTAAACAAGGTATTTAAAATAAATAAAAAAGGTTGTACATTTTAGTTGTGTTTTGGTGTTGCCTTTCTCCCCAACTGCCCCAGACTAATGTCCACAAATGTAACTATGTGCACCTATAATAGCTGGTGTTTTATTATATTCTAGACCATCCCTAGAATTGCTACATTTAAATTGCTAAAATATTTAATCAGCATTGTATTGTATATGAATTTAGATTTGTTTAAATTATGTGCTGATATGAAGAATTTATTTTACAATGCAAAAGTCCCCCTACAGAACTGCAAAGGGTTCATTCACACATAATTGTGATTATGTACAATTATATGCATTTATTGCATATTTCTAAACTCATAATAATAAATGTAATGAATTTATCATGCACACCATGCACTTCTTTTTAGATGCATTCAGTTCAGCTGTGGTTAGAAAACATAGATATATGTGCATCCAAGGGCAGATTAGACACTCTGAATGCATCTAAACACTAAAAAAAGAGCTTTTATGGGCCAGCAACAAATTCCTGGGGCAAGAATCTGCAGATTCTTGTGGCTGGATTTAGAGGTGGCTCTGGACAGCTGTGGATGCTCAGCCTGTACAAAGCAATGACAGACTGACAGGAACAACGGCTGTTGCCACTATTTGCGTGCATTTGCAAATCCAGCCATTACTCTAGTAATTACCTAGATGTAACTACCTTCAGAGACACAATTGTTAATAGTGATGCTAACAGAAGCTATAGAAAAATGTTGTTTCTGGGTTAAATAGTTCTTTAAATGTTGGTTTTACAATTATCGGCGCACATTGGATAAAGTGAGAGCAGTGTTTCACACCCCAGTTGCCTAATATAATCCCAAGATCATATGATCGTTAAACCCAAACCAGGTATGCAAAAGTGAGGCATTTATGAAACATTATTGTTCTCACAAATGAACTTAGTAAAAATTTGAAAATATATTTATTATAGCAATAGATTAAAAACATGAATTGTGTTAAAATAGACACAAAATGAATACAACAAAATAGTACATGGTCCAGATGCAATACAGTAAGATGTTGCAGTGGTCTGGGTAATCACAAGAAGATTAACACATGATGTTGTTCTCTAGGTGAATCAACATGTTTCGCCATAAATGTGGTTATTGATTTTTTGTATATTAACTAGTCTCCTAGGACTGAAGTATTCTGAGGAAGCCATTATATGGCGAAACATGTGTGAGAGCAATAATGTTTCTTAAAAGCCCCCCTTTTCCAGGCTTTGCATACCTGGTTTGGGTTTAACGATTATATGATCTTGGTATTTATTATATTAGTTCTTTTAATGTTGTTTAAGAACAGGACAAAATAGAAAAGCTGACAACAGTACAAATGACCAAAGCCTTCTTTCTAATCCAAACTGAGTAAAAAAAGTAATTGAAACTGATTCATTTGTGGATGTGAAAGCAATTGTGAAACTTAGGTTCAGCACCATGGACAGCAATCCATGCTGTGCATTCCCTGCATGTGCTTACATTGGGATTGTTTATTTCTGTTCTTGCTGTTTTTCAGCACATAACCTGTGCTAATATTAAATCGGTAATGTTCTTATTTGATTTACTAAATATAATTTACTCTTTATTAATCTTCCTTGACTATAATTGCTGTGTTTATCCTTCCATGCCACTGAGGATGAAATGTACAAAAGCCTTTATTAGATGTTTCTCTGTCAAGGAGCTGTTTTTGATGCATTGCACCAAATTGTGTTTATGTTGTCACAACATGCGTGTATCTTGTTTTTATTTGATGTTCATGGCTCAGGTTGTTTTGTATTTGACCTCACTGACATTGTGACATTTAAGCACATATTGATGTTTCAAACGTCATATCAGCCTTTAGATCTGTTCCTGTAAAACTCCCTGACATTTCAGACTTCCTAATAAGCTAGGTGTTGTTTTTGCCTGTTTAGTGCACAGACTACTTAAAGGGTTTTTAGCTTTTCCATTTGTATCCAATCCAGTCTTAAACAATTTTATTAAATTTGGTAATTTGGATGTAATCTCTCAAAGTGAAGGGCATCCCCCTCTTAGACATTTTTCCCTATTGTATGAGTTGCCTTTAACTCATGTTATTATTTCCTCTTATTTTATTTCTCAGTACAAAAAGAGGGGTAAATCTCTCCAATATGGACACAACAATTACTTTATAGAATTTCTGCTTTTTACTTCTGTATCCAATCCAGTCTTAATCCATTTGATTCAATGTGGCTAAATTACAAAAGTTCAACACATTGTCATGATTTTACTCCAGGAAAAACTCCTCTTTGTCATGTATATAGTTGGTAAGTTGAATACTAACAGAACTGTACAGATATAACTCATGGTAAGGGTAAACATGTTTTGGTGAATTCACTTAGATCTTACAATTTGTTAATAAACATCTGCATTGCAAGTGACCCCAGCAGAAATTCCTCAAACCCCAAACATATTGCCAAATCCAATAGAAGTCTATTGGAGCCTGAAGCTTACTATTAATTTCTGGGCTTTTTTAAGGTTAATTTACAAGTTATTGTGAAAATGCATTGGTAGCTGGGAATTGCCATTGGGAACATGTACTAATGCAAACACATTTGTTTAAAAAATATAATTCAGCAGGGAGAGGATCTTTTAATGTGGCTTAAGTAGCAACATCAATAATACACATATCCTTTTAATCCTTTATGCTTGGAGGATATCTTAAAGCTGCACATGATGTTAAGGAACAGTACGGGCTAACTCTTAAAAAATGGCATTACCAAAAACTGCCGCTACAACAGGACCGATCCCCATATGGCTTCTGAATGTCAACAAACCAGCTGGGGATCTTGGGAAACATAAGTGACTGAATATGATCGTGACCATATTTGGTCGATGATATCACCTTTGATCTGTGGCTACCCCGATGTTTACCTGTCAGACTCCTGCAGCAGAATGACACATCTCCAGCCAGTTGCTGTATGTAAACAAAACAGTAATCCTGGGTGACATCATTGACCAAAAATAGTCATGACTATATATGGTCAATGATGTCACCCAGGATCCCCGGCTGATTTGTCTACAAACACCAGTCGACCGGGCATCTGTCATTTTATGGCAATAGTACTACCACCACAAAATGTTTCCCAACTGGTGTCTGTTTACAGAAATCAACCAGGAATGCAGGTGGTAAAAACAATCCAAATATGGGCAGTTTGTCCTTTCGTCCACCTGTCCAACTGCAAACAGGCTGGATGAGGGTCAAACTAATATTCAACCCCAACCCAAAAGAACATCCTTACTGTGTAGCCCTGGTCCTATCAAGTGTGAAGTTGGATTCACCACTGACTCCATCCTCGTACTCCTTCAACACACTGTCGTAATTAAAAAAACAGTGTTGAGCCCCCTTACATATTAATACTAGACCCTTATCCGGGCATTCAGCCTATGCAGCCAAGAAAGGGAGGGCAGCAAGTGTGTGCCCCCCCTCCCTGAACCACACTAGGCCACATGTCTTTAACATTGGGGGGAGGCTTTACCACCCCACCTTGCAAGGTACTCTCACAACTAACACTGCGGGTATGTGGAAATCACCTGTATTTAACGTATTAGACCATTTATTAGGCCATGCATGGGGTAATAATATGAATAATAGCTTTACTGTAATTACTTACTACAAGAGGTTAATTCTGTGTACCAGTGTTTACACTGTATCTAGCTATGTGCTCCTGAAGTGTCGGTATGAAATAGCGGTAGGGTGTTTTTCTCTGCTTTTATATTTTATCTTTCATTTCTTACCATCATATCTCGGATTTAAAAATAATCCCCTTCAAGAAAATCCTGCTGGAAGTGAAATCCTGGCATTAGATGCAAACTGTAAAGTCTTTCTCTCTTGTGAAAACAAAAGGAATTAACAACTCTTCTACAGGCTGTAATTAGCTGCCCAGAGTCATGTCTGTATGATAATGTCATTTGAAATGAGAAAAGACACAGAAAACAAATGTTCTTTCATTTGTACACAGAGACACATGAAGAGATTGCAGCCATTGTATTTTATCATATACATTCTCAACAAAATGGCATAAAGCTAGAATGTTTACTTGAAGACATAAGGCAAACATAATTTGGGAAACTTTCAGTTTTATATACAACTTATTTAACTTTGGAGCACCATAATGTGCATGTGTGGTATGTTAATTAAAAAAATATATAACATATATATTTTATATAAAATTTCTGCACACCACCTGGAATTTTAAACCAGGTTGGCTGGAAACATGCCTGCATTGGTTGCTGGAATAGACGCGTGACACAACAGTGATGATTTACACAAATCCTTTTATACAATTCTCTGATGTTCAGGAAAATCATTGACCTTGTATTAGCATTGCAAGGAGGAATAAATGATGGAACCAAGAACTTTCTGCTCAAAAATAGAATGACTCTTATGTGTAGACAAAGGTTATTATAACTGCTTGAATATATATATTGAATGGATTGTCTCCATAGTGTACAATGCAGCCAAGAGAACTTTGTTGCTTGGAACTACAGAAGTAAATAAAGGTGAAAACGGAAATACGGTGGCTAATAGTTCAATAGATAGGTAGATAGATCATATTCATCTGGACTGCATTTTATCGATTACCCTCCTTTGTGTTAGACATCTGTAAACCGATCTAGACTAGCTGCAATCATTAAATGTTTCTTCTGTGTGTTGTTCTCTCTACTACAGCAAATACATGGGACTAAAAAGAGTAAAATGTTTTACAACATGAGTCTTGTTTAAGAATTCCTTATCTTAGATATACAGTATAGGATTAGATATAAATCTGTTCTGGTAAACTGGCTTAAACATACAATGTGTGGATTTTGTAACATAACTGTCATTTGTTTCCTAGTTATAAAGACAAGCAATTGTTCATGACTTTGCTCTTTTGTTTTTGTCTTGGCAGCTAGGAGGATGTGGGATCCTTGGAGTGGGTATCTGGCTGGCCGTTACACAGGGGAACTTTGCCACGCTCTCCTCCTCTTTTCCTTCGCTATCTGCTGCCAACCTGTTGATAGCTACAGGAACCATCGTGATGATCGTGGGCTTTCTGGGCTGCATTGGTGCTATTAAGGAGAACAAATACCTTCTCCTGAGTGTGAGTACAAATCATTGTGGGAGTTTTGTATGCTCTGGGGAATGTTCAATTGTATAGGGGCTGAAGTAAAACTGGGGGGAAAGCATAGAGAAGAATGTAACTGTTGGCCATAGCTGCCAGTTAGGTTGCAACTTCACTGGGAAGTCTATACCAGTTTATACATAAACCCTAAACTGATCAGTAAGTATTTGATTATTACCATTCAGCAGCCTGTAGGTGTATATAAATGTTAAGATGTACATCACAAACAGAAATCAGTCTGCCTGTATTTTATTAAAGTCTGTGTGACAATTAACAAAGACTGTGTGTATTTACAACCTGTGCACCTACATGTATAATCTTGGGCAACCAACTGCAGCAGTTTTGCACAGGTCTGTGACCGATTTATTAGTGGAAATGATACAGAATTTAACTCTAAACAGATGCATAAATAAATTCTTAGGGTCAGATTTCCTTCTGTTTCTGTGCTGTTACAGCAGCTGAGGGAGAATTTTATATCTCACCGCTCCTGTTTAGCATTGCCTTGCTGTGCAACAGACATATACATGCCTCCCCTTGTGCCAAGGAGGACATAGCTAAACAAAAAACATTCGGAATGTATGTATGCATGGGTAAACATTTATTTGGATATTTATGAAGATATTTCTGTGTGAATGAATTGGAATGGTTGGGTAATGTAAGTGTTTATAAAGGCCATGTCATACCAGTGATTTTGTAGCAGCGATTAGTAGCAGCCACAGAATTTCAAATTAATTTCAGTCTATGAAAGGTCTGTGTCACCGATCTAAGCAATGTGTAGCTCAGTCACATATCGATTGAAGTTTCAGTGTTTGGAGCTAGGTACAGAGTCACCATCAATCTGCTCATGATTTACAATGCAGCTGCTAGGGTCCATGCCATTCAATTGGATTGCAGCTGCCTAGACAAGCATTAAAGTCAGCTACAACAATTACTTGGTATACAGTGGTCAGGAGTAAGTGAACTCTTATCTTGGTGGTTAGTGTGCTTCTTTTATTGGTGGCCACTGTTCCCTCTTGCACTGGTGGTGAGCGTGCCCCCTTACACTTGTGTGCAGTGTGCCTCCCTACTTTGGTGCTTAGTGTTCAGTGCACCCTCACATTGGTGGTCAGTTTTCAGTGCCCCCTTTACATTAGTGGTCAGTTGTCAGTGATCCCCTTTCATTGGCAGTCAGTACTTAGTGCCCACCTTACATTGGTGGTCAGTGCTCAGTGCGTTACTTAAACTGGTAGTAAGTCCTTATTACCCTCCTTAGATTGGTAGTCAGCTCTCAGTGCCCTCTTACATTGGTAGTTAGTGTTTAATGCCACCTTCACATTAGTGGTCAGTTCTTAGTGCCCCGCTTACATTGGTGGTTAGTTCTCAGAGCCCTCTTATATTTATGGACAAGCTTAAAGCCCCTCTCACATTGATGTCAGTTCCAAGTACCCCACTTTACATTGGTGGTCAGTGCTTACAGCCCCCCTTACATTGATGTTCAGTTCTCAGTGACCCCACTACATTGGTAGTCAGTTCTCAATGCCTCCCTTTCATTGATGACCAATACTTAGTGCCCCCCTTACATTGTTGGTCATTTCTTAGTGCCCCCTTACATGTGTGGCAAGTTCTCAGTGCCCCCTTTACATTGGTAGTCAGTTCTCAGTGCCTCCCTTTCATCAATGATCAGTGCTTAGTGCCCCCCTTACGTTGGTGGTCATTTCCTTGTGTCCCCTTACATGTGTGGCAAGTTCTTAGTGCCCCTTTACATTGGTGGTCAGTTCTCAGTACCCCTCTTACATCAGTGGTTAATTGTCAATTCTCAGTGCTCCCCTTATATCAGTAGTCCAAGGTTAATGCCCACCTAACATATATAGTCAGTGCCCCCTTATATTTTTTAGTGCTCCCATTGCCCCAGTGCTCCCAGTGCATTTATGGTCAGTTTCCAGTATCTCCGTTACATTGGTGGTCAGTCCTTAGTGCCACCCTTACATTGGTGGTCAGTTTCCAATGCTCCCTTTTATTGTTGGTCACACTAGTCCTCCTCCCTGCAAAGCATTAGCAGCAGCAGTCTAACATGATTTAGGCAGCGGTGACATCAGAAGGGTGGGTATACAAGCAGGCAAGCTGATAATGGTGTGGCTACATGCTGACAGTGGCATGAAGTATCTAGCTCTACTTTCCAGCTTAATGTGCTCCAGCTGCTGCTGTCAAAACAAACATGGGCAAGCTTGGTTGTAGGAGCTCTGCCCTCACCAATGAGACAGGATTAGAAAAGTACTGTAATGGGGAACGATGTTACAGACAGGGAAAGGCCTCACAATGCAGTTTTGAAATAACATGACAAGTGGTTTGTGGCCTCAGAACCCATATTATTAATATTATTATTATTATTACATATTATTTATATAGAGCCAACAGAGATAGCACTGTGCTTGAGATGTGGGGCATGTGCCCTGGATGCCTGGTGCTAGTGACACCACTGTCTGGGAGGAGCTACAAAGCTATTAGTGATGGGAGACTTCCTGTGCTGGAAGCTAATTGCTGTAATCTGCAAAGATTACCGCAGATTAGTAGAGATCAGCAGAACTGACTAAAATGCCAGGTCCACTCTAAGGCCACTTTCACACCTGGGCAGTAGCGTTTTTGCACACATTAGTGCACATTTTTGTCTAGCGTATTTTGCACATGTATGTATGCGTTAAATGCGTGCACATGAAGACGCATGTTTTAGCTGGCAGAATGAGAGACATTACGGTCAACGGACAAACGAGCAAAAACATGCACAGAGATGTGTAAATTGCTTGTGTCGCATGTTTCCAGGCGTTTCCATTGAAGTCCAATCTGCCAAAAAGAAGCTCATGTACTTTTCCAGCATTCAGCGGTTTACAGCTTGTGACAAAATGCTTCTTGTGCGGAAAGTTTTGTTGCACTTGTCTTTGAGCATCAAAATGCCTAGGTGTGAACGGGGCCCTAGGCTAATGTAGAGTCTTTGGGGAAAGCTGAAGTGGTGCAAATACCTGGTGCATTTGCAGTAGCAGCAGGATGGTAATAACACTGTGTCGCTACTACACATGGCGGTAGCATCGATGTTTAAATGTAGAATAGCGCCATTCACAACAGCCATACTGATTGGGAAGCACATCCAGAGTAGTCCCTGCAGTACGTGAGTCTGTGTTGCAATGAGAGATGACCTTCCCATTTCTGGCCTTGTAAGCCATCTTCTTACTCCCTGGCTTTTAGTGCGGCTTTCACGGGCACTGTAATTGCAGCTAACCCCACCAACCCCACCACCCAACCTCTGCTGCTGGTCTGGAGGATTGCTTCTGAAGTTACAGGTGACAGTTCCTAACCAAGGCACCTCCCTCCCCAACCATCCCTGCCACTACCACTGTGCCTGCACTCTCCTTACTACCCTGCCTGAAACTTCCCCACAGCCACAATTCCACGGCAACCCCCCTGCTCTCATTACCACAACTGACCCTCATCCTCCTCATCTGGCACCACACCTCCCAAATGCCTCCACTTCACTTGCCACTGCACTGCATCTGTGCTTGCTGCCAATTCACTGAGGCATACCTTAGCACTCGCCACCACTGTACCAATGGACAATCAATTATGTGCTCTACAACACTGCAGTGCATATATTTAGCTTGTTCAACAAAAGGGCAAACTTTTGCTAGTACATTATTGGGGGGGAAAATTTCGGCATCTGTAGCATGTGTAACTGTTCAATTAAATTTCACAACAAATGTTGTTGTAATATTATCTGTAGTAACAATGTCTTTCCTATAATACATGCCACAATCTATTAGTCAGCAATTAAAAAATATTATGTTAGACTAATGAAGCTGCTCTGCCAGAAATTAAGCAATCATTTTTTTAGCACACGGATTCTTGTTTTTATGGAAATTCGGCTCTATAAAAAGTTAGATAAAAAAACCTTTGTCCCAAATCACCCAAAGTTTTCACATTTAGTTTTGCTAGCATTGAAAGGAGAAAGGTTAACAGTGATCTAACAGAGGCTGCCAGCTGTGTGACATTCAATCCTCTCAGCACTAACACCAGCCTTGCTGAGCAACTGCAGCATGAAATATTACAGAAGAGGAGTCAGGAGCAGAGAGAAGAGTGGGAAGGAAAAACACACTTTACAGCTCACCCAGGAGGGTTTGAGAGGGAACTAAAATTGATTTTACTATCTCAATATACACCGCAGAGGTACCAAGCTGCAGACGTGTGGAGTTTTTAGTGTGCCATTCAAGAAAGAGGATACGTATTTTTACGGTTGCCTATGACACTTCTTTCAATCACATATATGCAGCTTTCTCAATAAATTTCGCAGGCAGTCTTCATGTGGTAAAAATTCTTAGAAAACACATATTTTGTCTTGTTTGTTGTATTGATTTAGTTATGACAGATTAAATATAGTGAAATATATAGCCTGGGGCACAAGAAGGTCATTCAACATAGAGGAAAGAAGTGGTCTGCCACAAAAATGGTTGCTCACTACTCTGCTGAAGATTTCAAAAGTACAGCTAAACTCCAGTAAATAGCCACATACAGCGGAAATATATGTATGCCATATATTGTAATTCCATTAAGCCGTGTGATTCAGGCACCACTGTTAGGCAGCATAGCCAGGTCCCTGACTTCAAGAGCATTTCGCTAGTACACCTTGGTTTTGGAAACGCCCAGGCATTTCAACAACATCACTGCCTGTGATGTCAGAAGCTTTAACAGCTGTTGATACTGACATCATCAAGTCACTTTGTGTTATGGGGTGATGATGCTCCGCCTCTGTTTCTTGCCTGCAAATCACATGCCTTGCTAAAGGAATAAATTAAATTCTGTGCTAATGCACATTGCCCAGGAATATCAAACTGGGCAGCAGCCAGCAACAATTAGTAAATATGCCCTGTGCAAATACACATACAGCCATTTAACAGCAATGTGCATGGGGACAGGCTATGGAATACAAAATCCAGCCAGCAAAAAAATAAGAAATA